GGGGGGGGGGAGGGAAAGAAGCGAAATCCACTCGCTGAGGGAGGTTGTGCAGATGTACTCCCGTGGACGGCTCCCACCTGACCGTCCATTTACTCGTAGTGGTTCAATTCAGAATGTTGATTTTATTTTTTTATTTTTATTTTTATTTTTTTTTTACGTTTTGTAACGTTGATTTTTTTTAAATCTTTGTTCTTTTTCTTTTTTTCTCGGCCAAAATCAATGCGACTTTGACGTTCATCTTCCCCCCCCCCTCCCTCTTACTGAACGTATGGTAATTATCACTGTATCCGGACTGTATCTACGTCCAAATACAGCTATGATACCGTCCGTTCTGTTAGGGGGAAGACGGGTTGATTGGACTGAGAATGTTGACTCCCTTTTTTTCTTTTTTTCTTTTTTTTTTTGACATTTGACAATCGACCATGCATGCAACCGGACGCAAACAAGACCTGGAAAAACAGCTCCGCTCGTATGGGGATGAATCTGGCTTCGAATGTGACTAGATGCAAAGCGGAGAGTTGTGAAGGGAGTATCCAACTGCATTCCCCGCCCCTCACACACTACTACCTCGCTCCGCTACTCAATGAATGTGCAAATGACAATGAATCTTCCGCCAGAACATGGGCAGATACACCGCCATAGTTTTGTCTTTTCTGCACGTGGAGACTGCCGGTAGGATTGTAGTGACCTCGCTCCACTACTCACCACATGCACAACAGACAAAATATGACGGTGCACATTTCCATGTTCTAGCGGAAAATTCATTCTCATTTCCATGTTCTAGCGGAAGATTCGCTCTCCCAATCGACTCGGATGTGGTGGCCACCTTCTGGCGCCGCTTCGTGTCCAACGCCGTCTCCGTCAAAAATTGGCAGGCTGAAAATGAATGAAAAAAAAAAAAAAAAAAAAAAAAAAAGATTAAAAAAAAGGGAAAGAATGGCAGGGCTCCCTGCGCGTATGCGTCTACCGTCTTCCCCCGAACATAACGCACCCTGAAAATGAACGTATAGAAGGTATGTTTCCGGCCCGATACAGGCAAAATGAGGGTGCGTTCAAGTTGTGTTCGGGGGAAGACGGTAGTTCTTCAGCTAGAAGCTTCGGATGGAAGGGTGAGCAGCCGGGGGGTGGGAGACGAGGGAGGGGGAGAACGGAAGGGTGGGAGGGGACAGGCGGAGGGAGGGGTGGGAAAAGAGGGAGGGGGTAAGAAGGAGGAGGGAGGGGGTAAGAAGGAGGAGGGAGGGGGTATCTAGGTGTAGGGCTGAAAAAGGCACAAAAAAACGCACTGGGCCTAGGGAGAAAAAAAACGGAAAAACGAAAGAAAGCTCATGCCTGCGGCTGACGCGCGGTAGATCTTGGGCCTCAAAAAGTGAGCTCGCTAGTTTATTCCCCCTATCCTCATGAATGTACATGTCCCTTGGCCATGACTATATACACTGTCTACATTCATGAGGATAGCGGGGAATAAGGTAGAGCCAATGATGAATCTGCATCGCGGGAGAAACTGAATCAGAACGATTCAGAAGCCTCCAGATTCCTCGAATCTTTTTTTGGGAGAGGAATAATTTGCAAGATACCCCCATAAGTTGAGGTATATGCCAAAATGCCCCCTAAAAGATGTGAATCGAGCGGAATGCCTCTCTGAAAAAAGAAAGATTTTGTGAAATACCCCTGGCTTGTATTGTTGGACCCCCCGTCTTTGCAATATACCCCTACCGGGTACTGTCCAAATTTGCAAAACTGCCCTGGTACTTGCCAACTTTTCCAAGTCCCGAATTGCAAATGACCAGGCCCAGGTAGCGAGGTCCGGATTGCAAATTTGTGAACCACCTGACAGGGGCATAACGCAAAGAGTGACACCCAAAAGGGCATTCGGCTCTACCCACATCTTTCAGGCAGATTTTGTCACATAGCTCACATTATGGGGGTATTTTGCAAATTGATCTAAATTCATCTAATTATCCCTTTTTCTTTCCCTTGAATCCATGGACCATATGGACGGGCCATCGTTGTGCTGCAAGTGAGTGCGATAGTGCGGCTAAACTGTTGACACCTTTGTTCCCTGTCCCCCCTTTTATTTGGGTACATTGTGCATTCCCACCCCACCCCCTTCCCCTTCCTTTTCATGATGTGAGGGGTCACCCTCATCAAGAAAGGAAACTTAAACCACCGGTACTTGGCCCAGCTATCGGCCGCGGAAAAAAAATAGAGTAGAAACGTTTCTAGTTGGATGAATTTGGGCGCTCCTGTAGTGGCCCGTGCGTTTCCTAAAATCGCGTGGCGTTAACGGGCACGACTTTAGGATGTACTGGTGGTTTAAAGGGGGGAAGTTATATTCATGAAGAAGTGGAAGCTCGGCTGGTTAGAGCTCTAGAGTAGCATG